TGTATTGTTGCTGCTTGTTTGTGCAGCTGTTGGTTGTGATCTTGTTGTTGGTATTGTTGCTGTTGTGGCCTGCTGTTGCTGCTGTATGGCTGGCTGCTGTCGTGTACGTTTGCTGTTGAGTGTGAGTGTGTGTGGGCGCGCGTGCGTGAGAGTGCGTGAGAACGCGTGAGTGTGCGAGCGCGCGAGTGCGCGTGTGTGCGCGTGTGTGCGCGTGTGTCTTCTCCGTGCTTATTCTAGCCTCCGTTCCGCGTCCCAGGCAAGCCAGCGCCTACGCCAGCGTTGCCGGCGCCGACGCCAGCGCCATCGCCAACAGCCACCTGCTGCCTCCATCCCTGTCTGTCGGCCGTTTCTCTGTCTCTGTCGCTCGCATCCAGAGCTGTTGAGGTTTAGGCTAGCGCTCAAGCGGCCAGAGCTGGCCGCGCACACGTACGTGGGTCTCGACAGTTCTTGCACATTCATGATGATGTTTCTCCTGGAGAAAAAACTTGCCTGACTATGATTATCACGAATGCAGTCGAAATATTCGAGAGCTACGCTCACGGCGCTGTGTCTGGAGTCTTGGGCTGCTCTTGGGATCCAAGGGGCTGCACAATGGTGATTAACACAGGTCTTGCTGTACTGTGCACTATGCACTTCAGAGTGTGTTCGTGTCGGAGTGGAAGGGGGTTCCCAATGGGAGCTCTGTGCCGCAGACGCGACGTTCGTGGTTAATAATATTTGTTACGTCTACGTTCTATGCGATTACGTTTACGCTCTAGCAAATTATTGTTCTGGTGCATGCTCCACGCTTGTATGTCGGGAGCCCGTGGCACACTGCAAGAGACAGGGGACCGACATATCCGTCAGTTTCTCGATCAACATGTTCCCCTCGATGCAGGCGTGCCAAGGCGGGTTCTCAGCCTGAATCTTCGACGGCAGATTGTAGGCATCAGTAGATGGAGCCACTCGTTGCCGCTGGTAAAAGCGATGGCCTCAAAATATCACATCCCACCCCATCTAAGTGCCCTCAGCGCCGCCAGCAGTTTGAATATTATTGCAGAAACCCCGTCGACGATTTTCCCCACAGGTCTCATCACCATCCAGGCTGATATGCTTGGTGTATTACGTACATCTAGCATCGTTTTCGATACTGACTTCTCCCAGACTTTGCACACGGTCACCTTCTGTCTCAGCCCCACACGGATCCGCGCCAAGTGGACCGCAGGGCGTCGTCAGAAGCAGGAAGCACATCGACTCTGTCGTTCGATTTCCCCCAGTATGGAAGAAACTCTATCTAGGCGCGGAGCTGCACGTTTTCCCCAGCCCCTTTAGATGTTTGATCATTTCGAGTTTCGATTTCGATGTGGATTTGGCACCGGGTTGAGTTGCAATCGTGAGCGCAGTTTTCTTACCAGATGGGCTCAGAGAACCTATGCATAGGCCGAGGTGTGCTCACACGCTCGTCCGCAATGCGCGCTGGAGTTCTGCGCCGATTCCGCGGGCCAACGATCTTCCAGCGCCCGCGCACATTCCCAGAGGACGAGGAAGTCGAGGGGCTGAGGGGGAAGACCTCAACCCACGCCCCCCACGGCGCCGCCGTGGGCGGGCCGCTCGACGCCGCCCACTTGAGACCCCACCAGAGTTCCTGGACCAGCGTGACAGATACACCTAAGCTCAATTGGATAAGCACCGCCAGCACTATTTAGGACAACGTCGGCACCTTGCCCTTCGGGGGACCTGGCAGCGTGTCTTGGGAGGCAGTGTTGGTGAGGTGTATGATTATTTTCTCCAGAGGGCTCGAGAGGACGGCCTGTCGCGTGGCCCCCTCGACATCCTCGACCCGCGATGCTCCCTATTACTCATTCGGTGGTTCGCCGCAAGCCCTAGGCTTGCTGCATGGGCCCCTGTATGTGCACGGCACGCACACGGCAGTGATCACGCATATACTTCATGGCACCTGTGTACGCTACTACCACACTACCATGATAGGTTACGCGTTCAAGGCGCACTTCGTGTATATCTACAAACTCTCGGATTACCGACTCCTGGGCCCCTGGTCTGTACTATTGGCTCTGCTACGCAATCACCGCTGGCCCGTTCCTGGACCCGCCGAGTTTTCAAACGCGTCCGAGGGGGACGGCCCTCTCGGTACCAAGTGATTCGACGAACGACACGGATGATTCCGAAACCCATCCCGGACTTCAAAAAGCAAGTTACCTCAAGAAGTTTGATTTCAGCCACCTCGATGCGCTGACAGTTGAGAAGCTGAACAGCGCGTCGAGAGGCGAGGATATGTATAGAGCGACAGTCAACGGCCGAACAGCCATACCATCATCGTGCACGGGCGTGGACATCCGCGCCGCTTTTGTTCGGTGGCTTCGGCGTGGGTATAAATACAGCCGGCCTCCCAGCCACCCTGAAGCCCGACGCCGCGAAGGTGAACCAAAAGAGTTGCGGGGAAAAAACATTGGGTATATGTGGCGATGATGAGATGCCCTCTAATCCCGCTAGCGGTGCCGCTAGCGGTGGCGTTCCGTTTAAGGTTCGCGCAGAGGGCTTAAAATTCTCTGAGCCATCGCTCTCGCATCGTCGCCCTCCTTCCCATGATACTGAAGGCCCTGAGAGTTTGGCTTCTGTCGTGGAGAGCTGCCGCAGTTACATCTCCTGCTCGGTCGAAGATAAGGACCCCAACACGCTCTGGTTCTTTAATCCCAGGCTCCAGGTGGTTCGATGGATGTCCCTGCTCAGCCGTGCACGCGCGCGCGATGGCGCCGTTGCCCTGCCCCGTTCGTAAACATCTTCACGCTCTATCGATTCCTATATGACAGATCCGTTCCAAAGAAGCCTTCGGAGACGGTATCAAGGGAAGTTCAGGTACGAAAACTTACCGTGCATCTACTCTACCATCAAGCCAAAGTGTTGGCGAGGTGATGCGGCTGCCCCCCCCCCCCCCCCCGAAGGCCGACATCAGTGCACAGATCCTGGGCACTCATGCATGCGTAACATATTAATTCTATTGGTATGCCATCTAGACAGATATACATATGTATTGGACGTGCACTTCGATATCTTTGTGATATTGCCTGGCCTGGTTGGAGTTTCGGATCCCGGGACACTGCAATTCCTCGTCTGGTGAAGGAAGCTCAGACCCTTTTCCCCACCCTCTCCCTCGGGCCGCTGCACGCGTTGCGGGAGGCAGGTGCAAGGGCCAGGCGTACTGGTGGCAGACGCTGGACAGGCGTATGAGGACATCCCCATTCCCCTCATCTGGAGTTGCTTGGACCGCCTGCTCACAGCATTTGATAAGATATTCAAATGTCGCACTGCCAGTTTGTTTTTCTTTTCTTTTTTTGCGCCCGCCGTTCCCACTGTCGCCTAGGTGGAAACGCTGAGGCTCGTCTCTGAGATCGCATCGTCTTCTACTTTAGCAGCCTCAAGAGAGCCCTCGCAGGTTGCATGGGCACGCGGCGCTTCCGACTAGGAAACATTTGCATGGGACAAAAGCGGGGGATCCCTATTGGCGGGCCTTTGCCGGGTGTTGTACTACATATCGTCCCTAGTGAACAAGAATGGCACTGTGATTGTACATGGCCTACTAGACGGAAGAGAATTTGCACGGGGCGCTATGTGGATGATGCTTTACTATTCTCAAACATGTATTGCTATAGCTGCCTCTCCCTAGATATGTCCGAAGTGTATTCAGGAATTGTGAAGTTTAACATCGAGCCTGAGACCAAGGCCCTGGACTGCGAGACTATTGTGGTGTCGTATTTGGAGGTCGACCTACACATATCCTACACGGGCGCACGCGCACTTAGGACTCGCAAGAACGAAGCTTTCGCACTTACGGGCGACCACAAACACTACAAAAAGAAATATCTTTCCCTTCTAGTATGGTACTATGACTGCATGCATGTTAGGACAACTTCGGGGAGAACATAGGGGGCGCCTACACCGATGGGGCGCCTACAGCCTTAATCTGGAAAATTTGATGGTTCTGATGTGCATCGATGTGTTGTTTTTCTTTCGGCTTGGCTGCCCACCACATCTTCTAAAATCGGCATGGGCCTCATTATTCCCTCCAGGGCCCCGACTGGACCTCGTAAGAGCGCGCCTGGCCCTGGTCACCCGCGCCAGCAAGCACCTGATCCCATCATCGCAGTACCTTTTGGCTCAGCTTGGTCAGGATTGTACCAGCATTTCAGCTCTGACACCCTCACCGATCTCGACGGCACCTCTCGCGACCATGTCGTTCGGTTACGGCGGGGGGCGCCCCCAGGGTTGGGGAAACTACGGCGGTGGCCGCAAGGGCGGCGGAGGCGGCAAGGGCTTCGGTCGTGGCCCTGCACCTCGCTACGGCGGGCCCCACGACGGCGGCTACTCTCAGCCGATGGCATCTCAGGGCGGCGGCTTCTGTGACCTGCTCGGCCAGATGAATGGCTTCGTGGACCAGGTCACCGCACTGGGTGCCATGAGCACACTCGGAGCTACGCTTGCGCAGCAGCAGCAGCAACAACAGCAGCCAGGCACCACGTCGTCAGCCCCGACTCCGCCAGCACGCGAGATGGCTGAGGCCGTCGCGTCGGCGCTCGAGAGCCGCGAACGGGACCAGCAGGGCAGCCACCCTGGTGGCGACAGCCGCCTCCGCACGACCGTCGACCGCCTATCGACCCTCGTCATTGGTTCTCCCAGCAAAGCTGGCGGGGGCCAGGACAGCCTCGAGCAGGCCATCGAACGCAGCAGCGTTGTTCGCCGTCTTCGGGCCGACCTTCAAGGCGCATCCCGGACCGTCGAGACCCGCGGCCGCCAGCTGGGCCACCTCCAGCGCACGACCGAGGGCACCGCCGGCGACGTGAGGGCGTTTCGAGCCCTCCTTGAGGGCCGTCCAGACCCACCCACGGCGGACCGCCCGCCGACGAAGGGCGGGGGCCGCGGCGGCGCCGATCGGCGGCGCCGTCAAGACGAACCCAGGCGATATCCCCATGGCGCGGAACCTCGTCGACTATGGGGCCCACCTGGAGCTGATCGGTGCCATTGGCGTTGGTGCGGTCCGCAATGACATGCAGGATCTTACCACTACCCTACAGGAGCCAGCAGGTACAAAGATCGCGTTCGGCGAGTGGTGGGGTCATATCAAGCCCTGCAAGGGCCTGGCGCAATGGAAGACCAAGCTCACCTCGCTCGGCGCGCCGCCCGAGACCATCAAGACCATCGGCGCTTTCAAGGACGTGGGTGAGCTGATCTACAGTCACCTCGCAGAGGATGGATCTTGGAACGCGGAAGCGATGCAGACGATTAAGATCACCAAAACGGACACTACTCAGACCACCGAAATGACCAATACCAAGTCGTTTCAGGGCGCTTCCGCGCCGCAGGTGGGAAGTACGACGAAAATGACTCAATGCATTCAGACCTTCCCTTATACCAAGCTCTTCATCCCATTTATACGTCTGGTGGCGGATTACGCCTGCGAGCATATGATGACCCCTTTCATGTCGGCAATTCCCTTGGCCTCCGCTGGTCGGTTAGCTACGACTGCGTTTGGACATCGTCGGACCAAGCTCCAGTCTGGCTTAGAAGCAGCAGCACCAATGGCAGCAGCAGCACTTACCGACTCATATGTATTGTCGTCACCTTTCCCCACTACAATGGATGCTGCTATCGCTTGGGGCACACGTATTGCAGTAAGTTCTTTGTGGGGAGGTGCCGCATGCATGCTCTCGATGTAAGATGTGAATGGCATCTCGTTCCTGACGGCGAGTTTTTGTGTGCAAGTTGTACTGGTTTCTACAGTTTGGCCGATCTCTTGGGCGGTGCTTTTGAATTGCCATAGATGGGTTAGCACTACTTGGGGCACACGTACACACTGTTCTACACCACAGACTTTATTGCTGAGGGCCCGTGCCTTCCGTATGAGATACGTTGCTGAGGTTTTCAGTTTTCACTTGAGCCCTCCGAGGCTCGGAGCCCCCCTGCGAGGCCCACGGAACCCCTCCTGGCGGTGACCTCTGGTGCCTGATGCGGCTCCGACCTTGAGCCTCCAGCTGTTTTTCTGATTGACCTACCCTCCCTGCAATGTCTGGGACGGTCTGTGCGTGCATGCGTGCGTGTTTTTCCCAGTGCCTATTCTAGCCTCCGTTCCGCGCCCCAGGCAAGCCAGCGCCGGCGCCAGCGTTGCCAGCGCCAACGCCAGCACCATCGCCAACAGCCACCTGCTGCCTCCATCCCTGTCTGTCTGCCGTCTCTCTCTCTCTCTCTCTCTCTCACTCGTATCCAGAGCTGTTGAGGTTTAGGCTAGCGCTCAAGCGGCCAGAGCTGGCCGCGCACACGCACGTGGGTCTCGACAGTTCTTGCGCATTCATGATGATGTTTCTTCTGGAGAAAGAACTTGCTTGACTGAGTATCACGAATGCTGTCAAAATACTCGAGAGCTACGCTCACGGCACTCTGTCTGGAGTCTTGGGCTGCTCTTGGGATCCAAGGGGCTGTGCAGCGGTGATTCTCACAGGTCTTGCTGTACTATGCACTTCAGAGGGAGAGAGAGAGAGAGAGAGAGAGAGAGAGAGAGAGAGAGAGAGAAAGTGCGTGTGTGTGTGTGTGCGTGCGTGCGTGCATGCGCGTGTTAGCGCGTTTGTGCGCGCGCGCGTTTGCGCGCGCGCGCGCTCGCACGACCGCCAGGTGTCGAGGTTCAACCCTCGGCCCCCGGGTCGAGGGCCCAGGGCCCTGGAGTCCAAGCTGGGCGACCCTCGGATCTAGGATCCGAGGTGATCGCCGATGCTCGAGACCAAGATCTCGGACCCTCGATCCGAAGACGAAGGATCGAGCCAGCTTGATGGCAGTCTGGGCCCGAGAAGACGGCGACGAAGGAGATCGACTGTCGCCGAGGCTCGATCCTCGAGACTCGGATGTCGAGCGCGAGATCTTCGAGTCTAAGTGTTGCGATCCTCGGATCCAGGCTCCACGGCATACAGAGATGCTTGGCACCGAGATCTCGGATCCTCGATCCGAGGGAGGAGGATCGAGCCTCCTTGATGGCGGTCTGGGCGCCCGAGGGCGGCGAGGGCAGCGATCCACGATCGCCGAGGCTCGATCCTCGAGCCGCGGATGTCGAGCCCGGAATCTTCGAGTCCGAGCCTGGCGATCCTCGGATGCACGACCTAAGGCGTTCGAAGGTGCTCGGACTCAAGATCTCGGGCATCGAGCCTGCTGAATTGCAGCCTGGCCCCAAGGACGGTGACGAGGGCGACCTGCGATCGCCGAGGCTCGACACTCGACCCTCGGATCGCGAGCCCGAGATCTCCGAGTCCAAGCGTGGCGACCCTCGGCCCTAGGATCCAAGGCGCCCGAAGATGCTCGGAACCATGATCTCGAATCCTCGATCCGACGATCGAGCCTCCTCGACGGCGGCCCGGGCTTGACGACGGCGACGGTGGCGACCGACGATCGCCGAGGCTCGACCCTCGGGTCGCGAACCCGAGATCTTCGAGCCCGGGCCTGGCGATCCTTAGATCTACGACCCATGGTGCTCGAAGATGCTCGGACTCAAGATCTCGGATCCTCGATCTGAGGACGATGGATCGAGCCCGCTTGATTGCTCGATGCTTGGCCGAGGGTCACTCGGCGAGGGGGGGTGGCACCCCGCTGCTTGGAACGCCGTCCGCGCGTGCTCGAACGCTCGCTCGGAGCTTGAAAAGCAAATTGGGATCGACCGCGTGCCTCGAGACGCTCGCGCGGCACCCTCGCAGCGAAAAAGCACGGGGTCGCTTGGCTCGGGGCGCTCGTGCGCCGGGCTCTCGGGCGCCCACGAGCACGGACGCGTCGGCCCCTGACTCGGCCTTCGCGACGGCCTGGCTTCTCTCGGGCTCGCGCTGGTTAGCGATCTTGCCGTAGTCGGCGCGGGCCCTGGCGAACGCGTCGGAATTCAGCTCGATGCGCTGGCCGAGAAACGCTGTCTCGACGCCCTGTTGCCTGGCTGCGCCCGCGCTGTCAAGCTTGGAGCGCTTGCCCTGGTAGCTCCGCTCCTGGAGCTCGCGCGCAATGTCGGCCGTCCTCTTCGCGCTCCAGCGCCACTTGACGACCGCTTGCGCGGTGGCCTTGGCGGCGTCAGGGCCCGCCGCCGCGCCGCCCTGGCGGCGCCAAGTGACGAACTGCGTGGCCTTGCTCGGGGTCGACTCGAAGAGCTGCTCGGAATTCGCGCCGAAGGACTCCTCGCCCCACTCCTCGACGGGCTCGAACTTTCTGTTGATCGGAAGCACGAGGTCGTGGAGGTGGAGGAGCTCGGTGGGGGTGTCGGGGGCGGTCTTCCCGACGCGCTCGGCGTGGGGGCCGCGGGTGAGGCGCCGGGCGTTCTCGGCGCCGAGCTCGATGCCTTTCTTCGCGGCAAACTCGTGCGTCTTGGCCTTGGAGCGCGGCGCGGGCCAGAAGAGGTTCTCGGGCGGCTCTCCGCGATTCTCGGAGATGTCGCAGGCGCGCGCGTCATTCTCTAAGTAAGTCTTGTAGAACAACGCCACGGCCAGCTCGATGCGCCTCCTGTCCTTCTCGTTGAAGACGCGCCCGTGCTCGATGATATTGAGAGACCCGCCGCTGTGGACCATCTCGAGAACGGCTTGCTGGGCGCTGCTTGACCACAGGGCGCTCTCGGCCTTGAAGAAGCAGGCCGTCGCCCTCGCTGTATCAGTGCCCTGCGCGCTCGATTGGCACTGGCGCATCTCGGCGATCGCGATCCTGTCCGCGATGAGAGCGAGTTTGTCGAGGATCTTCTCGTACTGCGTGGCCATGCGCTCGAGGATCTCGTGCGGGTTCGGGCTCGCGCTCTGGGCCACCGCCTGCTTGCGGGCCTCGAAGGGGGGGCTCGCCGCCGCGGCGCGCTCGGCGGCCTGGCTCATGGCCCTGGCTCGCAACGCACTCAGGGGCAACGACGTGGGGGGGATAAGCATTCCGGGGGGGGGGGGGGGACGTCGACCTGGAATCGGCGATGCATCGCCGATGCATCGGCGATGCGCGCCCGATCGTGAATCCGCGCGTTCCCGGGCAGGTTCGGCATGCCTATCTCCCCGTATCGCTGCCCCTGGGGCGAAGAGGCTCGGCGCCTCGAAGAGGCTCGAAAGCTTGGCGTCTCGGAGACTCGGGGAAGCTCGGGCCTGGGGAGCTGCGGGGGTAGAGGAGGAGGAAGAAGAGGAGAAGGAGGAGGAGGAAGGGCCACGGACCGAGTGAGGGAAACGCTGGAAAAGAAATTATCTCCAAGGCTTTGCCTGCTCGAAAAACGCGTGCACAATCACATCCAATCGGTCCCCATGGCCCTGCCACATGTTCCTGGGTCGGGAACGGCGGAGAAAGTGAGAATCCCATGGCCCCGCCGCACGTTCGTGGCTTGGGCAAACTGAACTGGCGAGAATCCCACAGCTCTGCCACACGCTCGTGAATGCGGAAGATGATATGGTGAGACCAGCATGGCCATGCTCAGTGTTTTTGATGCTGTTGCTAGTCAACATGAGATGATGCGAACGTAGATGCGCAATTTCCCCCGTGGATTATACAGTTCGGCCTCCGCACCGTCCTCCACAATTAAGTCCTGTTGAACAGGGGAAACAATAAAAAACGCTAAGGGGGTAGGCTTTATTATCGCCCGCGCGCGGTTACCATGAACAAACATATGACTGAAGTCTGTTTTGTTCCCCGGATGGAAACAACACTTGAGCCAAACAGCTGCGGTGCAAATTCCCGCGCATTGCCTCAAGCATTGTGCTGTCTGTTACGCCTGCTCACCCAGTCGGAACGCTAAAAACCAACTCCTCCTCCTCCTCCTCCTCCATATCATCCTCTCCCTCCTCGGGGGCACCCGCGCCCTCCAGGTCCCAGCCAGGCCCCGCCGAGGAGTCAGCAAAAGTTCCCTCGCCAGGAGGCGACGAAAAAATGTCCGGACCTCCGACGGTTTGAACACATCAAATCGAACGTTGTTTGAAATGTTCGGTGTGGATACTAGGGGAAACGAAATTCAAGCGCCAAAACCGTCACACAACTACTCAGGATGAAAAGCGGGTCCCGGAACAGGTCCAGAGCTCCAGGGCACGGGCGCCGAAACAAATCACGACATCGGACGTCTGGAAAAGCCCCCACCCCACCCCGAGATCCATGACCGCCAAACACATCCTGGGCTGAGGGTTTCTTTTGGCTATCTTGTCCGCGTACATCTTCCAGCCGCGAGGCAACCTGCATGATGGTCCTTTGGCCACCCCGAGGTGACCAAGGGTTAGAGAAACATCCAGACAGACACCCCTTGGTGAACAGCCGATCGGACTCGAATGGCTCCCGGCCTCTCTGCAATTATGTTCTGATTTGGGGGGGGACTCGGAATGGCAAATCTTCGTGCTGCACACACACAGCCCCCCAGGTCGTCCCGGCTGGCCTCAATAGCCCCCCCCCCGAGTAGCCCGGGCCGGTCTCCACACCCTAATCCTGGGGTGCGGAGCGCCTAGGGGCGCAGGCGGCGCCAGGGTGCTGAGACCGTCCTAGGCTACTCGGGGAGCTATTGAAGCCAACGCTATGTGTGCAGCCCGACAACTCACTGGCTCGGGATGACCTGTCCAGTTGTTCCTGGACACCCCAGCCCCTGGTGTGGCCAGACGACCAGCGGAGGTGACCTGGACCAGCCGTCGGAGAAGTACACCCCGTATCCGATACCGCGCCGTCGGCACGTCGTGATGCCACAGCGTTGGCGGCGCGCAGAATGGAGTGGGGTGGTGGGGTGAGGGCGTCGTCGACGACGCCGCCGCTTTTTAGGTCTTCGAGCGTTTCCGTCGCGACGGCTGGGCGCGGCCGAGAGAACGGGTAAGGCAGGACCCCAGGAGGTGGCCCGGGGATCCGCTTTGGGCGGATGTCTACTCGGGGGTGGGGCGGAGGGGGGGGGAGGCTCTCAAAGAGAGGGGAGGCAGAAGGCCTGCTGAACGAGCCACCCTCGCGCCATCTTCGAAGGCCACCCCGACCATCGAGGGGCGGCACTGCTGGGGCGTCCGTCCGTGTTCTCAAGGGCCGCCCTCCGCCCCTCCCCCCCCTTTGGCGGGCTTGGGGAACCCTGAACTCTTGCTTCCAGCGACCGTCCGCCGAGGGCGGGCACGCCGAGGCCGATGCCCGTCCTGGGGCCCCTCACTTGCCCACGGCCAAGCCATCCGATGTATTGTTTTTGGCGATACGGGGTCCCCCCCCCCCCTGGGAGTCCCTACCCTTCCCCAGTGCTGGTGTGTCGCACTGGGTCATTTTTTGACGGACCCTGGGCCTGGTGAGGACCTCCAGAGGGCGTTTTCTATGGGTTGGAGGTCTGGGTCTGAAGTGCCCCATTCTGCCCACGACCGCCCTCGAAGAGCACCCCCCGCCTCCAGGCCCTCGCGTGGCATTGTGTCCAAGCACATTGTGGCGGCGGGCAAGCGCGGCAGCGCCACTGGGATACGAGGACGAGGAGGGCGCAGACCTGGAGGTCCCAACAGAACGGCACGAGCGCAAGATCTCGGAGATCCAAGCGGGCTTCTTGGTCACCAGACCCCTGGGTGTTCCCTTGAACGCATTTTTTTCCTGGGGCGGGGGGGGGCATAACGTAACGCCCACCTCGAGGTGTGGTTCCAGCACCACAGCGCCTGTACGCGTCACAACAAGCACCACAGTGCGCAGTACAGTATGCACCGCCACAGCACCAGTGTCTGTTTTTGTTCATCCACACCCTCCTTCGATATCATATGCTGATGTCTGCTGGACGAAGAGGGCGCCCGACGACGACGACGACGACGACGACGACGATCACGACGATACCGGCGATAACGACGATGACCACGACCACGACCACGACCACGACCACGACCACGACGACGACGACGACGACGACGACGACGACGACGACGACGACGACGACGACGACGACGACGACGACGACGACGACGGAGGGGGGGACGGGGACGGGGACGGGGAGAGGGGAGCGGGGACGGGGACGGGGAAGGGTACGACGACGACGGCGACGATGAGGACGACGCCGACGACGAGGACGAGAACGAGGACGACGAGGACGAGAACGACGAAGACGACTACGACGGAGGCCTCTGCAAGTCTCTGGAGGACTCCAGAGGTCTCAGTAGGTTTCCGAGGACCTCTGGAGGCGTCTGGAGGCCTTTCGAGGCCCTCAGCGATGACGACACGGACGAGGACGGGGAGAGGGACAAGACGAGGACAGGGACGAGGACGACGATTACGACGAGGACGAGGACGCGGACAAGGACGACGACGACGACGAGAACGACGACGAGGACGACGGCCGCCTCTGAAGGTCTCCGGAGGTCTACCTCTGGAGGCGTCTGGAGGCACTTCGAAGCCGTCGAAGACGACGACGACGAGGACGGGGACGAGGACGAGGATGACGACGACGACGACGACGACGACGACGAGGACGACGACGACGACGAAGATGACGACGACGCTGATGACGACGACGACGACGAAAGCCGCTTCTGAAAGTCTCTGGAGGTCTCCTGAGGCATACGGAGGTATTCGGAGACCTCTGGAGGCGTCTGGAGGCCCTTCGAGGCCCCCGGCGGCGACGACGAGGACGAGGACGACGACTGCCACGAGAACGAGGAGGACGAGGACGACAAACACGATAGGGACGATGACGACGAAGACGAGGACGACGATGACGACGACGACGACGATGACGACGACGGCGATGACCACGACGACGACGCCGCCGCCGACGGCGACGACGACAACGAGCACGACATCGACGACGACGAAACCGATGGGGACGAGGACGAGGACAAAAACGGTGACGGGGACGGGGACGGGGACGACGACCACGAGCACGACGACGACGACGACGACGACGACGACGACGACGACGACGACGACGGCGGCCCGACGACGACGACGACGACGACTACGACGACGACGACAGCAACGACGACGACGACGACGACGACGACAACCGCCTCGGAAAATTTCGGGAGATGTCCGGAGGCCTAAGGAGATGTCCAGAGGCCTCTGACGGCGTCTGCAGGACCTGCGAGGCCCTCGGACAGGACGACGAACGTTAAAGTAGTACCACAAAAGCCTGCGAGCATCACAATGGTAGTGCCAGAGGCGCGCAACGGGGGGAGCGTTGCGTTATGGGGGCGGAAGAGGGGGGAGGGGCATAACGCGCGATATGGCCCAGAGGCTTTAAAAACACACTCCTTCTCAGCCCGTCGGGCGTCTCTGAGCCCGTTCAGCTCCCGAGAACCCCCCACGATCGAGCCCGCTCCGCGGCCCCTGCGGACTCAATTTCGACCTCGACATCGGGATCGAGCTCGTTCGACTGCCCACTCGGCGGCCGAAGGGGCTCAGACGCCGAACGAGCTCAGAAGGTAACCCTGGTGACCGCAGAGCTCGCTGCGGGCGGCGCTGGAGGCGCCGTCCAAAGGCGTTGAAAGGGGAGGGGAGCTCCAGCGCTGACCCAAGAGATCCGCGTGGACTTCCTGGTTCTGTGCTCACGCCGCACTGTCTGGCGGCGCGCACAGCAGGGGTGACGCGAGGCGGGCGGCCTTCCAACAGGGCGCTAGAAGCCAGGGCCCCCCCCAGAAGGGCGCGGAGGCGTCGTGAGGAAGCTTCTCTCGGAAACCCTCTACTCTAGGCTTCCTGGAAGGCCGCCCCCTCGTGCGCGCCGCGGCACTTCCTGCTCCTGGAAGACCGCGCCCGCCGCTCGCAGCGCCGCGGGCACGGCGGGCACGCCGTCCAGCGGGAGCGGGGACCGCCCTAGCGCCAGCGCCGAGGCTGGCTGCGCCCCTCGAGGCGGTGTGCTCTTGTTGGTCGCGGCGGCCGGCGCCACGGAGGGCGTGTGCACCGTCTTCGCGCCCGTCCTCACGTCGACCACCGAAGACTGGAGGGTGTTGGCCTTCGTGATCACCTCCTGCGTGGCCGCCACCGCGTCTTTGCAGTCCCCGCTGACGTCGTCGGTGCGGCCAGAGAGGCAGGGCAGGATGCCCTGCTGCAGCACGCTGCAAAACCTGGTGATCTCCCTGCTGCACACGAACGGCACAGACTTGCCCACGTCCTGGCGGCAGGCCTGCGACACGTCCTCGCGGTGCTCGCCGAGGCAGTGCACCTGCGAGCGGGCCGCGCCGCAGTGCTTGACGAGGTCCGCGCGGCAGGACGCTGGGGCTCTCCTCGAACTGTTCGCGCCACTGTGGATGAGCGGCAGCATGTTGTTCTGGAAGCTCTCTGGGACGTGCTGGAGCATGTCCATGATCAATGGATCTGGCGCGCCGAATGGGCCCTCCTGGATGCCCCGCAAGCCCATCGAACTGAGGCCTCCGGGCTCCTCCACCATCACCAAAGGGCCCGGGAACAGGTCGTGGAACAAATCGACCCCCATGCCGGACCTGCGCGCCCCAAGCTGCGGACCCGCCCGATGCCCGGAGAAGGGGAGCTCGTGATGCGTCGGCCCCTGGGCACCCTGCGCCTCGCGCGCCCTCTGCGGCGCTGCCCCCGCCAGCTCAGGGAACACCCTCTCGAAGCGCATCATGTGCTCGGACGGCATGCCTGGATGCCCCTGCCGGCGCATCAGCGCGGGCAGCATGCCCTGCCGCTGCATCAGCTCTGGCGGCATGCCCGCGTGCGCGCGCTGCCGCGGAGCGGCGTCCTCGAACTCGATTTGCAGGGGCCCCAGCCGCAGGGGCTCGTGCCCGCTGGGGAGCGCCATAGCCTGTTGGGGCTCTGCGTCAGGCGGGCACCAGGGTGGGGGCGATCTGGCGTTCGAAGAGCCGCCGATCGCTCACGGTTGCGCGATCCTTGTGGCGTCAGAGGCCGACGCTGGGGTCGCCAAGGTACGTGGTGCGAGGAGAGCCAGGAAGAAAACGACGGCACGGCGACGACGGAGCCCGTCCCATCCCCCCTGGACGAGGAGTAAGAGGCCGAGCAGCTTGGACCCCCGAACCTCGACAATTCCCTAGGCGTCCCTCTTCCCAGAAACGCACCAAAGCGGACGGCCCCCAGGCAGCAGCAAGGTCTCGCCTGGGTCTGCGTGGTACTACACTCCGCTGGACCTCCCTTGAGAATAGAAATCCGCCGATCCGGCGTGTGAGTTTCAAGGAGTCTCAGCTACAGCCTCGAGGCTGAGCCTCAGCCTCTGGGGGGGTTGCCGGGGTGGCTCTGCCGGGGAAGGGGGGGTGGGGGGGGGGGGTGCGAGTTTCCGGCGGATGCGTTTTTTGACACCCCTCACAAGGATCGTGGCCTCCGAGGGGGTTCCGAACTCGAGTACCACCCCTCCCGCACCAAGAGGCTCCGAGGAGGCCTCCAAGAGGCCCCAAGGGGCGCAGAAGAGGCCCCCAAGAAGCCCCAAGAGGCTCCCAAGAGACCCCCAAGAGGCCCTCTAGTGGCCCCAAGAGGCCCAAGAGGCCCCCAAGAAGCCCCAAGAGGCGCCCAAGAGGCCCCCAGAAGTCCCAGCCAACCACGAGATCCCAACCAGCATCCATGAGGCCTCTGACCCACCACCCACGCACGGTGGCGGGATAGGCCGACGGCCACTGGATAAATGCTGAGTGAGAGGAGTGGAGGGAAAAAGAGAGGAGGGACGAGGGCGAAGAAGGATCACATCAGTCGGAGCGCCCCGGATCGGCGGCACTCGCCGAAGGCCACTACAATATTTATCGGCGATGCCCTGGGTTATCTGGGTGGAGGTTCTGGCCGATTACCAAACCTTTTCGCTTTGAACAACCCCACGTAATCCCGCGCGCACCAATACCGCGTCTTCTACTGCTGCTAACGATGCTGCGACAATGCTTCTAGTGGTGCTGCGAATGCCTCGAAATAAATGTGGGCACCAAGAATTTGCATGATACCGGAGACAACCCCAATGATAGTCTTTTTAGGGCTATAGGGCTATGGGACTATTGGGTTATAGGGCGATGGGGGCTGTGGGGCTGTAGGGCTATGGGGCCATAGGGCTAAAGGGTTATAGGGCTATAGGGCCATAGGACTATAGGACTTTAGAGCTATAGAGCTATGGGGCTCTGGGGCTATGGGGCCATAGGGCTATAGGGCCACATGGCTATGAATGTATAGGGCTTCAGGGCGATTGGGCTATACGAGCATAGGGCTATAAGGCTACAGGGCTGTAAGGCTACAGGGCTATTGGGCTGTAGGGCTATAAGGCTATAGGGCTATAAGGCTATGGGCCATAGGGCTATAGGGTTATTGGGCTTTTGGGCTACTGGGCTTTTGGGCTATGGGGCTCTAGGGCTATAGAGCTATAGGGCTATATAACCATAGGGCTCTAGGGCTCGATGGCTGTAGGGCTATAAGGCTATAGGGCTATACGGCTACAGGGCTATTGGGCTGTAGGGCTATAAGGCGAAAGGGCTATTGCGCTATGGGGCTATGGGGCTATAAGGCTATAGGGCTATAGGGCTATAAGGCTATAGGGCTATAGGGCTATGGGGCTGTGGGGCACCCGGGCACCCAGGCGGCCGCGAAAATCAATGGGAAACCTCACCTAACCATATTAATCCGCTAGGACCCCTACAGGGGCAAACTCTGATTGGGGAATATAGGTAAGGACCAGACAAGAATGCTCTGGCGCAACTTATGCTGCAAGCAACCGCGAAAAGCAGACGTAGCACCTGCGCGGACCACACCGCACATGCACATCACAATGCCTGTAATCACCTCTTGCGCCACCGACAAACTTAAATTATACATGTGTGTTTGTGTGCGTGGACGCAGGCCCGATACTCCGGTGTATCGCTGGACCCTGAACAAAAAACACTCTCCTGGCAACCGTCATGGAGCAGCGAGCTCTCGCCTGGGTCTGCGTGGCATTCATTCCACTTCGCTGGACCTCCCATGAACGCACGAACGTGGCGAGACTTCCGCGTTTCACGGCCCCCACAGGGAGAGCGAGGGAGAAGGCTGGGTAGAATACGAGCAAGTACTGTGGGAAGTGCAGCGTTCGATCAAAAACTGATGGGGAGCGGATATGTTCAATACGTCTCGCACTCATTGTGTTGCTGCAAGCCTGCTTGTATGGAAAGATAGCCGGCGAGCCACAACATCATGGATCGGGGGAATGAACAAAGACCACGACGGGGCACTCTCGGATTTTTCTGGGCCTGCTCGATGCAACTGTAGACATGATCGACACACGAACCCGGAACGGAATTCAACAATGCGAGGCATCAAAACACCCGATTGGGCGACAAACAATTGCAGTGTTCAAAATATCGATCGTGATGTACCGTGCCAAAAGTTGTGCTGTGTTGTGCCGTGCTGACTTGAGATGTGTCATGCCGCGATGGATTGCGTTGTGCTCTGCAGCGTTGTGGACAAAATCGCCCTTGTCATCCGAATCCTCACCGGACTGATCTGGATCTTAGGCTCGAGCTGCCTGAACGCATAACTGGCCCAAAGCTAGCCGCAATAGAACCGTGTCGGACACTCAATCAGCTCGAACACAACAACCGATTCAGTTCCGAAGCGGGACGAGACGACACGGGGCGCAAAGCACATGGACGCGCCATGGGGCGTGGCAAGGGCGCACGAGGGGATGCGCCTAGGGAGGTGTCAGGAGACGTGCCGTGGACGTGTCAAGGACCTGCCACGAGACGTGCCTGGGACGTGCCTGAGGACGTCATACCAGCAGATGGGGCTCGGTATGTGGGCCCTGTCCTCGTACAGCATGAGACGGCCACTCATGTGATCGGGAAGCGCCTTATTGCCGCCAGGAACGCGCTTAACAATTTACGTGGTGCATGGTCGTTGCCCTTGCTGTATAAGTGGAAGCGAATGATGTTCCTGGGCTGGTTGTCAGAACGCTACCTTGCGTGGACTAGACTCTTTTGCGCGATCGAAAGTTAAGTATGGTCGGCTTGATCAACCTGTAGCGGCTATGGTGAAAACATCAGACGGGCAACATCTCGGAACGGGAGGTGGCGGACGAAGAAATTATGATGACCATGGGCAATAAGCAAGTATCAACATACAGCGTCAAAATGCATGTTCATCGTCTTGGGATGTATCAGGCCTGGTCTCGGGACCCCGAAAAGAATGTACATGTGTTGTGCAGCCTGTTTGACTTGCATGCAGACGCGGGCCGACCTCAACTGGTGCGTGGTAGACCGCGCGAATCTGCCTCACCATGCGTCAGACAATATCAGTAAGATCCGTCTCGTTGACCCTGTACCATTGACCACGCGGGTCCTGTAGTAGTAATCAAGCTGCGGGTCCCAGATCCGCGTGAAGCCGTCTTCCTGTACCAGTTGTCCTACAAGTAGTACCGGTGGACAATCGTTCATTGCGAATGCCGAACTGGATACTCCAATACGCGGCAATGTGAAGTGGATGTGCTCGTTGACGATTCGGTCGCCGTTGGCTGTTTCAAGTATAGGTTCTCGTCCTTGATGCGCGCAGTTAGTTTCGCGCGGTTGAAAATTAACCTTATCTTGGATGTGGTGGGCGCGGCCGCTATCCAATATCCATGTCCGTGACGGCGCTGCTGTGGACCGCGTCGTTGTCTCAGACTCGGGTGAGGGCGTTGCCACCGACGCAGTGTCGTGAGTCGGTGGCGGGTCAAGCACCATGGTAAGTCTGGTGGTCTGCGTGAGCTCGCCATGCAGGTGTTGGGATTCGGTCCGGCAGTCACGCAGAGCTTGCACGCTATCTTTCAGCTACCAGTCTGGCAACGTGCCGAGCACATCTACACATCATCTTGATTGGCCAATGGTTCGTTGTACCTGTCCAGTGCGTTGTTGACCGGATAGGTAATGATATCCACGTTCTTGAGGTCAAAACGGAATTGCCATGGTGATGGGTCGGCTAGTAGCAGTAGCCACACTCGGGCCACATATGCTCGCTCGCGTCGTCTATTGCGTCGCGTCGCTGCTGGAGAGCGGATGCGATCGCGGGTGGATGGTGATTGGCTGGGGCCGCGAGATGCGGATCGGCTGCCGTTTCTGTTACTTCTGGTGGGGGGGCGCCCGCGATGGTGCTCCCGGTTGGAGTTCCGCGATGAGGATCTGGTGCGCTGCGGGGAGCAGGGTGGCCATCCGCGGCACCCCCCCAAACCGCGCGAGTCGGGGCGCCCCGCGCGCCTGGGAGATGGCGCACCTCGGCGTGACCAGCGCGCGCCCCCCGGACTGCGGGAGCCCTGCCGCGCCTTGTAGGGGGAGGACCTGTGGCCCCCCGCATGTCTTGGGGAGGGCGTCCTGTGGCGGGTGTCTTGGCTGGCCGTCCGACTGGGGCCCCTCTCAGGAGTTTCCGCGGCAGGGTCGACGTGCGCGAGTCGGCAGCTGTTTCCATGCTTGCAGTGTAGCTTCGGATATGCGTAAAAGCTGCATGTGGCGGTGTGTGGGTATTTGCAACGATCTTGTAATGGGCAAGAGCCGTGTTTCGCGAACGCGAAAAATAAGTTCCGCTTGGCCTTGTCTTTCGGCGGTGGTCCAGAGGCTCGGCCAATGGAAGGGAGCCTTTTCGCGGGCGTCTCTGCCTGAGATAGAAGGTCGTCGTGGAGGTCGTTGCTTGGGGCGGCTGCCAGAAAAAGCGCGAAGCATTTTGCACCCTTCTCCGTTCTTACAACGTCCAGACTGAAACGCTGCAGATATGACGGAATCATGTCGTGCCGATTCGTTTTCGAGGTTGTGCTGGTTGCGTTCGAATCGGTGCAGTTCGAGGTTGGCTAGCACACGTTGTCGGAGCCACTCGCGTGTTCGATTGGGGTCGTCATGTCTCGTCTTGTTGTAGTCGTGCATGTCCTGCTTCATCCATTGGTGTCTGCGGATCCGAACTCGGAATCATGCCTCGAGTATTATCGTATCGTGTGGTTCGCGGCATTCCAATACTAGATGGTCCCAGTCTACAACAAACCGTTGTAGGTCGTCGTCCCGCATGCATATGAGTTGTATACGTCCAAAGTCATGCATCGTGTCATCGACCGCGGCGACTTTGTAGGAATGGAGTATGGTCCAATACATCTGTCTACCCTTCAAGATGCGGCCAGCTTTGTGTTCCTGAACTGTGAGATCCTTGATGCGGTACCGGAGCTCAGTACTGGGGACTGCCGTGAGTCCAGCAGCGAGTTTACACTCTATGCTTTCGAAACCACCGCTGTCCTGGAGGTCCTCAAACGTAGTGGCTGGTTGTTCCGCGACATAGGAATGCGTAGGCATTGGAAGTGCGCCCAGAGGCGCTGCCAAGAGTGTTTCGGACAATCTGCTGCCACTCTTGTAAATGAGTAGACAGTTATGGTATACGTACAGTATCTGATTCATTAATTGGGGCGGTTCCACTGACAATAAAGCGTGACAATGTCTGTGACGGAACTGGTTGTGGTGGCGATGGTGCACGCGCGGGAGAGACGTGACGCGTCTGGGTGGAGGCCGCTGCCGAAGCGGCACCTGGTGACGAAACGACCATGCGGCGGGGTCAAAGAGGAAGCGTGGCGCGGCGACGAAGCGTGTAAAATACTAGGCGGATAACTTGTGTGAATAGGTACGACCAAGTTATACATTTTTCCGTTGGTAGACGTGAGTGACGAATAGGTTAGCTACTCCTTTTCGAGGGCGCTGCTCGGAGAACAGCGCGATGTGTACACCAATGCCTGAGCCGATACGCTAGCGGTATATAATGCTATAGTGGTGATCTGAGCGGACTTCACACACACACACACTTCGCTGCGTCTTCGTCTCACCACGGTTGGTCCGACCTTCGGCTGCTCGCGGGAGCGTCCAGAGCGTGCTCGTCCCCGAGTTGCCATCGTGAGGAACTCTGCGGCTGAGCGAACGATCGCGGGAGAACGAACTGAACGCGTTTCTGGGGAGCTCCCCTCGCGAGGGGTCTTAGAAAAACACGCTCCGCTACCAATACAATGCTCGATTTGATGTTGATGGGGCGTGGAGCTTTCCAAGACGTCTCGAGCTCAGTTATGATACTGTCGGCCTATCTGTAGGCAACCAGGGGCTCCCTGGAACGACGATATCATAGATCGGGGGAATGAGCAAGGACCACGCAGGAGGTAGGAGGCAGGAGCAGGAAAAGGAGAGAGGCGGGAGGACGAAGTCCACACTGCTCCATTCAAAACGGGAATGCAACGCAGGAGGGTTGGGACAACAATGCAATGCGTTCCCAAAAGTCGCGATTTCTTTCTCAACGACAAAAAACTCAGGTGTGCCGAGGAGGGGGGCCATGAAGAGGGGGCTAGCGCATCATGACCACGATCTCCCCCCCCTCCCACTTCCCGATCGTCGCAGGAGGTCGGGGTCTGCTGGCTGGGTTATGTGACGGGCCGCCCAATGGCACGCCCGAAGTGGTGATTGCATCAGCGTGGCCGACGCCCAACAGCAAGTGTCTGACACGGGCTGTGACTGCTGCTAAGTATACGGCGCTCGCCGTGAAACCTGCTACATTGGGAGGAATTGCTGTGAACTAGTGTTGTTAGCCTGTCTCATCGCTTCGTCTTCTCGCCTCTCTCGCTGCACCCTCTTCCCTCGTCGTCGTCGTCATCATTGTTGTCGTCGTTGTCGCGGTTGTTTCTGCCCGACGTTTTCACTGACAGCGCCACACGGATCGTTTCACAACTTTGCCAGTGTACCTCTGACGTGCACAGCGTCTCTGGCTGTCCCGTCCCAGAATCCGCTCAAAACCACTGCCTGGGCCCATCCAGAGGCACAGCCTGGACCAGTCTCAGAGTCGCGACAAGCCGTGGCCACGATCCCGAGGGCCAATGACGATGAGGATTTAGTTTAATTTTACACCTCGATCGTCGACCCTCCTCAGAGATCAGGCGTCATCCGCACCCGTCTCCTGCATGTCTCCCCGAGCCAGGCGCATCCGAAAGGGCCCCTCAGCACGAAACGGGGCCCACGGCGCGCGCCGTGCCCAGACCTGAGGACCTCCCGGGGTCCCTGGCGTTCCCCACAGAGGCCTCTGCAAACTCCCTGACGCTTCCAAAATCCACAACTGACGAACGAACGCAAGCCTTGCGCCGGACTGCGCGCGAGCAGGGTGATACACGAAGTCCAGAGGAAAGCTCAAGAACGCTCCAGAACCCAGGCACGGGGCGAAGACACCCGCCGTGTTTTGCCACCGCCTTGAGCCTCGAGTGGCGCCTCGGTCCCCCAGCCCGCTCCGATCGTGGCCGGCGCCGCCGCGCAGAGGGTCCGTGGTCAGTTGGCTACCCTGAAGGCCAGAGGGCCCCCCCGAGAGGCAAAACGGCGTGCCGGTTTTGGTTGCTCCAGGTCACCAGACATCAAGACTTCTTCCCTATGGGGAGGCCTGAGTAATGTAGGAGGTGGCGATGAAGAACAAGCACGCGGGGACGACTCAACAGACCAGCTCTGCCGCTTGGAACGAGAGATGACGATCAAATACTGTTCACGACGACAAGACTCACGAGCAGGCCTAAGAGACCCAATGTACGAATCATCGCCCAAGGCATTCCTTGATCTTGTTCTGAGATTACATAATCCTTTGAGGGCCCCACGCCTCGAAAGCGGGCTCCCATGGCCTCGAACAATGAAACTCCAGCCGTCTCGGACTTTCTCGAGCCGCCGGATGTCTTGGAACACAGTCGCCCAGCACCTCCGACGCCGCAAATTAATATGTGAATTCGGGGCTCTGGAATCTTTCGACCCCCTACTCCCCCAGGGCTGCTTTTTCGTTATGTTTGTTTTGTTCATCCTGTATCTTTGTTTCACTGCCCCAGGGCGCGAAACGGGCCTCCAGAAGCCGAAACCTGCGAACCATCAACCGTCCAGACTTTTCGAAGACGCTTCTCGGACCGCCAGGTCGACAACCAGACTTCGCGTTATGGCCTCCGGAGGGCAGCCCGGCCCTAGCGACGAAAAGCCTCCCAGGGGTGCAACCGACAGAACAGAAACGCAGAAGCACCTCGCACCTCGAGCCTCGAGCCCAGACATCCGACGACGGGGGCTTTTGTTCTTCCGACCCTCCCCTCAGGGGCAGCTCTTCGCCCTGGATGCATGGATCGAAAAGTCAGCCCACCCGAGGTCTGGGAACCTCGATCCTCGAATCTCGATCCAAACCAGTTCCTAGACCCCTCCCAGGGTCCGTCCTGGTAAGCTTTCTCAAACTCTGGAGCCCCAGAACGTCGAAAATGGCGAACAGGCTCCCTCGAACCTGAATGCTGCGGACAGATAAGTCCGGAGTCCCTCAGGTCGGTTCGGACGAGGAGAGGATGGCAAAAGGGGAAGTCTGGCAAATCACCTGCATGCAGCTAGTTTTCCTTGCGCCTCCCAGCACCGATAATGACCATAAGGGGCCAAAACCAACTGTATGCCTCCAATATGCTTTTCAATCCTCAGCCGCAAAGCCCTCGACCCCTTGCTGTGGTAGGCTTGCTTCCCGAATCCATGCTTGATAGCCCCAGAGCGGCCCCCAGAGGCCGAAGTGAAGGAAGACCATCGCGGCTGCAAACATCACATCGTCGGAAGCCCGGGTTCGTCTGCCCCGATCAGGGTGGCCGACGGACCCGTGGCAGAGGGCAGCCGCCCGCAACGGCAGCGATCCGCCGCGCCGCCCCGGCACCGCTGGCGGCGATAGCCCCATCCTCGGCGCGCGCCAAAGGTCCTCTCGCGAGGCGGGCTCTGGGCACAGCCCTGGCCAGAGAATCGAATATCGAATATTTCCCCAAAAGAACTTGCACGCAGGGGTTCTTGCTTTTTCTCAATCGAACTGGGCCTGCGCGTTGGTCTGGCGGCTATGTGGTCGCCGTCGCCGCGCCGTCGCCGCCTCGTCGCCGCCCGCGGTGCCGCCTCGTCGCCGCCCCTCGTCTGGGCCTGCGCATCGGGTCCGCCGCTCTGTGATTGCCGTCCACGCCCCGTCGCCGCCTCGTCGCCGTCTGTCGTCTGGGCTTGGGTGGCGGTCCGCGCGCCGTGTGGCCGCCGTCGGCCGTCGCCGCCCCGTCACCGCGTCGTCACCACCTGCCGCTTCGTCGCCGCATTGCTTTGCATTGCTCTGTTTTGCGTAAGCTTGCTTTGCCTTGCTTTGCGTTGCATGGCGCAACCTTGCAATACATTACAGTGAGTTGCACTGCTTTCGGTGCGCTGCGTTGCACTGGCTTACATGGATTGGCATTGTTGCGCTTCGTTTGTTTGTCCTCGGCGTTGCTTTCCATTGCTCTGCATTAGTTTCATTGCTTCGCATTGCTTGCCATCGTTTTACACTGCGTAGCGTTGTATTGCTTTGCGTTGCCTTGCGTTGCTTTGCACTGGTTTGCTTAGCTTGATTTGTGTACGTTGATTTGCATTATGTTGCCTGGTTCTGCGTTGCTTTACCTAGCTTAACATTACTTTGCGTTGCGTTGCATTATGTTTTAGGTTACATTACTTTACATTGTTCACCACTGCTTTGCATTCCGTTGCATGGCATAGCAAAAAAGGGAGTAGAGAGGAAATAAAACAAGACAGGACACCCGCATAAAAGGGGGTCAGCGACAACACCTACAATGGTGCCGTGCGCGCATCTGGCAAAATCCCCTGCGATTCAGTTGTGCCGGACTTCTCACTAGGGCCGGCAGGGGGCATACCCCGAAGCTACAAGGGGCGAGCTCCGAGGTGGCCCCGTAAAAGAGGCTCGCTATCTTGTGGGTGCGAGTCCCTGCGGGTCAGCGCGGGGGGGGGGCAATTGTTGGCCCTCTCGCGTGCCCATGACACTGGGGACGCGCTGGGCGAGCAGGGCTCCCGAGGGGGGGGGGGGGGGAAACGACGACACGACCGCTCAAAAAGAGGAAGAGGAGGAGGAGGAGGAGGAGGAGGAGGAGGAAAAGGCCCAGACGGCTCCGCGGCCAGGGGGGAGGCGAAGGAGGAACTATTATCAACGTTTCACATTTTTGGGCGGTTTCTTGCCTTCTCGGACTCCCTCAGGACTCCTCGACGCCACGGCTGAATTCGCCTGGAAATTCTAGCTGATCAGAGCGCACCCGAGGAACAGGTCTGGGGGCTCATTCATTAGCAGTGTTTTGCATTGTTTTGCGTTGCGTCGTTTCGCGTTGCTTTGTATTGCTGTTCGTTGCTTTTGATTGCTGTGCGTTGAATTGCTTTGCTTGGCTTTCGTTTGCGTAGACCTGCATCTTTTACTTTGCGCTGCGATGATTTGCATTGATTTGCCGCCCGTCGCAATATCGATTGCACCGCGTAGAATGCAACACAAAAACTGCCCCACGTAGATTCTCCTCTCCTTTCTCTAGAAGAAGATATACCTCCCCACCCCCCGACTTCACCGCCCCCCGTTTCGCATTACAATTTACCTGCGATTCAGTCCCATCGTCCATCCAAAACATGAACTCATACCACCCCAGTCCAACCGGTATCGACCCCCGCCGTCCTCAACAAACAAATGCGCACGCTCTCGTTTATCAGATATGATCCGTCTTCAAATCCGCCGACCCTGTCGGCGTGTGTGAGGGGCTTGTCCGTTCAAGTCGTCATCTCCGTCATTCGTTGGTCGTCGTCTCTGTCGTCCCCTTTCCCTGCCTGCCTTCCCCGTTTCCCTGGGCTCGTCGAGACCCCCCCCTTACCCAGGACCTCCTCAGCGCGCCAGCCAAAGCAAAGTTGAGCAGCGTCGTAATTGACTCGAAGGGGAGCCCCTTCCCTTCGATCCCTCTCCCGCCGGGGGGGGGGCGAGGGGGGCCCGGGGGGGGTCCCCGGGGAAGTCCCGGGAAGGGTCCCGCGGGGGGGGTTCAGATACGACGCCCCCCCTGGGAATCCCAGAGCCCCAAAAGCGCCAAGAGGCCAAGAGTGCCCCAAGAGGCTCCAAATACAGTCCAAGAGAACCCCGAATCGCCGAACGATCTGTCCACGATGCCTTGACGGCCTCCAGACGGCCCAAGAGGCCTGCAACGAGAGCCCCAAAAGGCAGAAATTCTGGATTTCCCATACGTTTTTTATCATGAGTTTGGCGTTTTTGCCTCTTCCACTTCCCGACGCGCCAAGACTGTCCAAGAGGCCCCCAAGATCGCCCCGAGACCGCCCAAGGGGCCCCCAAGAAGGCCCCCCAACGGCCGAAAAGGGCGCCAAGACGGCCCAAAGGCCCCCAAAACGACTCCAGGAGAGCGCCCAGACGGGGGACCCGAACGAACATTTCGAGCTCTCGACCCTTAGAGGCCCCTAAGAGGCCCCGAAGAAGCCCCAAGAGGCTCCCAAGTGCCTCCAAACTGCCCCAAAACAGCCCAGGAGAGCCCCAAATTGCCCAGGAGGCCTCCACGAGTGCCTCGAGACGGCGCAGGAGGAGCCCAAGACGGCCCAAAACGGCCTTAAGACAACCCCAGGATGTCACAAGAAAGCCTCTGGCCACCTGACCTACTTCTCTTCCTCCTCTTCCTCCTCCCCCCCCCTGTGCTCCACCTCCTCCCGCTCTTATCTGCCTTCTTCTCTTCCTCTTGCTTCTCCTCCACATCCTTCTCCTCTCTCCTCCTCCCTTACCCACCTCTTCCGCCCTTCCTCCACCTCCCACTCATCCTCCTCCCCCTGCTCCCCCCCTCGTTGTCATCTTCGTCGTTCTCAGGGTCGGCGGCACCAGCCGCGCGGCCTTCGCAATATCTCTTGCGCAAAAAACGGGACGAAGTGCACGCTTGCGCCTAGTAACGTGCGCATGCCGAAATCATTGGGAAACGTTCGGTTTCGTACGGACGTCAAAAACGAGTGGAACGAACACATAAAAACAAGCACATGGTTTTGCTCCGCGGAATCGCGCTAGAGTATCCTGATGGATACTGGGCCCTGCAGGGCCTCTCCCTCAATAGTATTCCTTTTTCACCTCAGGGCGCTAGAGCCAGAACGGTTACGGGAACATCAAACACTGAAACATCAGCCGAACCTTAAACCCGATCCGAAACAACTATCGTTCCGAACGTGTGCTAAGCATATCCGAAAACCTTTCGGGGGGGAGTGTTTCTGCACTGCGCTCCTCCTTGGGCCCTGGGCTTCGCCAGGGGCACATCAACTGAACAGAAGCCGTCTTGGGTCATCCTAGCACGCACAAGATCTGGCACCTTGGCCCGCAGGCCTATCTCGCTTCTCCTCCGAAGGCCAGCGCCGCGATGCTGGGCTTCATCCTCTCGCGCCCTCGAACACATGCGAGAAAAGGGAGCAGCAAACAGGCGACGCCAGCTCTTGCAGCTGCGTCGTAAACGTGAAAAGGCGGTGCCACAGCACCAGAAGGAGCATTCACATGCGCCCTGCTCCGATGAGCAGGTCCTCGATCATCTGCGCCTTGAGCTGACCGTGGTAGATCCTCAGGCGCTCACACTCCGCTCTGAGGTCCGCAGCGCTCCACGTCCAGTAGGGCGGCACGGGCACCGTCTGCGTGTGGGGCTTGGCCTCGGGCGGTCCTCGATCTCCAGCCTGTCGATTGGCTGCTCGTGCTCCTCCTGAGCCGGTGGACACGCCACCAGCCCGTTCTCGTCCTCGTCGGCCTTCACGAGCTCCCACAAGCCCGTCAGGAACCGCAACGGCGCCTTGTATATGCGGTACACAATCCACGTCGCCAGGAATCCGATCACCAACGTCGAGCCGAACATCAGTTTGAGCATCGTCGTCCAGATCCGCTCCGCCACGGTCGAACTGCCCACCACCACCACCGCCCGGTCGCATGGAATGACTGCCGAGTTCTGAACTCCACCGAGTATGGCGGCCGCCAGCGTGACTCCGAACACCTGCGTGCGCCCCGAGGACGGTGTCCGAAGTGGAAGCAACGCCAGCAGCTTCAGGAATCTCGGCCCTTCCAGCGGCTTTGCCTGCGCGTCGGCCCTGTTGACATCCGCGTGGACCTTCGCCATCGTGATGGTCATGTCCCTGACCTTCCCCGGCGCCCAGATGTACTTCGTCTCCAGGTGGCGCACCTTGCCGCATCCGAGGCGCGATGCGATGCCCTTGGCCCCAGAGCTGCCCGCGTTGACCTGCAGCGTCACCTCGAATCCCATCCCCGACATCACGTTGCGAAGCCAGATGCCCCTCGCCGATCCGTTCACAATGCCCGTGAACTCCGCCTCAGCGCTGCTCAGGGCGCGGTTGCCCTGCCGGCCGCTCCAGCCGTCGATCAGGTGCGAACCGATGAACGGGAAACCGCCGTCCACGGACCTACGACCAGTCTCTGATGCCCAGTCGCTGTCGACCTCCGCCACGATAACCTTCGGCGTCCTCTGGAACTCGAAGAAGAGCTCGAATTGCGGGCGCTGCTCGAGGTAGCTGGCCAAGCGTGGAAGCAGTAGCCAATGGTGCCAAGTCGGTGCCAACATTCCCCTCACGAGGTAGCCGACGACCTGCTGAATGTCGAAGCGGTCCTGCGCGACGTAGAGTGCGGTAGGCGCCATGCTGCGATGGGTGGTCGCGCACTCCGTGCTGAGCTCGTCGGCTGACTCTCTGCAGTCCTTCCCAATTGTCTTGGAAGGCGGGGCGATCGTGCGCTTGGTGGTGCTGCTCTCGCCGATCTTCCTGCTGAGCACGGTGCTGACCAGGATCTCCACGTGCTTGCGATCGTGCATGATGCCGAAGCCTTCGGGGCACCGCGTCACTGTGCGCTTGGGGGAGCTGCCTGACTCAACTCCTCCTTGCCTCGGGCTCCCGACCCTG